AGCCTCAGCTCAAAGGGGTTTTGCCTTTTAATTCACTTGATCTTTTTTGGTATTGCTTCTCCTCCTGGTGGATCACCAGATTTGATTCTGTCTCTTGGCACTGTGAGATGATTTGTTTCAGTGATCAGTTTGCTCCCCGGCTCCCCTGCCCTCCTTACATTGAATAAGTCAAGGCAAAATGTTTGGGCATGGAAAAATAGGACTGGAACACAACCCTGTCCTTGAGGGATGACCACCCTAGGGATGCTGGCCTAGAGCTTCCAGCACCTCAGGGTGCAGCATCCCCCACAGAGCAGCAGGACCCCCAGGATTCCAATGGGGCTCATGTGAAATGCCCTTCAGGCATTTCCATACCCCATGGCATCTCTGGAGAGCTGCAGAATATCCTGTTAGGTAGCCAAAGGAATATTAAACTCTCACCATTCTGTATTAAACTCTGCAGATTTGCAGAGTATCTTCTGTAACCCTATTAAATTCTTGGCTGCTTTCCTGTTAGAAAGCTCCTATGGGAAGGGATTAATTCCTCCTAGGATGAATCAAAAGAAAGTTGATGTAAATCCACGTTTTGGAGCCTCTTGGGCCAGTGCATTGCCCCCTGGGTGCCCTATTGAAGGGTCTCTTCTGGGCAGGGGATGCTAACACCATTTCCAGCCAGACTGAAGCCACTTTGCTACACTCAGGGCTTTTTCTTGGTGCAGGAGGAGGTGTTGATGGCTTGGTGGGGTATGTTCTGCCACCCCTCACCTCTCTGTCTCTGCTTCCCCAGGTGGCTGAGCAGCTGATGACCATTGCCTACGAGAGTGGTGTGAACCTGTTCGACACGGCTGAGGTGTATGCAGCTGGCAAGTGAGTGCCCAGAGTCCCACTCTGCTCCTGGAACAGCTTGGGCTGGAAGAGGCCTTAGAGATCATCTAGTTCCCACCCCACTCTATGGGCAGGGACACAGGCTTCCCTGGGGTCCCTCCAGCTGGCTTTGCTATTCCCCGAGTCAGTTACTCATGATGGATTGGGCTCTGGGGTGCTTGGAAAGCTCCTTTCTCCCTAAGTGTGACAGAAACACCTTTCTATTTGGAGTACTCATAAAACAAATCAAATAAATTAACCCCAACCCTCTTGTACCCAGCAAAGACTGGAATGTATCACTCCTGCCACTTGCTGTTGGCACAGGGAGAAAAATATCCTGAATAAATGAGAAGTCAGAGTGGATCTTAATGGTGATGAATGGCCAAGGGCTGTGACAGCTCCCGGCGCGGATCCCAGTGGGAACAGCTCTGGCTGCAGCACAGCTAATGCTCTTAGTGTCACTGCACAACGGCGGGGAAACATCCTTCCATGATCAGTCTGACTGGGGCTGATTTACAGGGCTCTGTGCTCAAGCTGGAAGGTGGGCTGGGACATCGTGTCCCTGCTGTGGGGACAGGGTGGCTCTGCCTTCCAGAGCAGGGGCAGGTAGGTGTGGGGGTCAGGGATGTGGGGCTGTTCCTGTGGGAGTGGGTGGACAAGAGGCTTTGGATTGATGGAGAGGACATATCCTGAAGGTCAGTGTCACAAGAGGAGGGCAGAGCTACAGCCTGGGGTTGGGAGGATGATCCAGAGGGCCAGGGTTGATGGCAGCCACAGCGATGTCTGTCGCACTGAGCGTTCTCTGCATCCCCTCACACTGGGCTTTCTCTTGCACAGGGCTGAGGTCATCCTGGGCAACATCCTGAAGAAGAAGGGTTGGAGGTACTGTATCATGCCCCCCATCTCCCACAGACAAGTAGGACCCTTTGGCTTATGAGAATCCTTCTGGATTTTAAACATCGCCTGTGTTAGGTGGTGCAGTCCCAGGAGCAAGTGCTGCCGTGCATGTGCGATGGTCTCAGGCAGAGCAGCCAGGGCTCCTGCTGCAGTCAGACCTCTCCAGTGCCAAACAAAAGCACTCTCCTCTTCTTTTGGGAGTGCACATCTGCTTCACGAGGCTGTGACCATCATTTGAGATCATCATCTCAGTGAGCACAGCCTCAGAGCATGTGGATGATGTGTGTCGACACCTTATTGGTGCCTGAAGGTTGTGTATTAAGGATGCAAAGCTGTGATGGCCCTTCAGCTTGGGAGTCTGGAAAGAGATGATACCTAATTGAAATGATGCACATTAGCATATGTTGTGTAGTTTTAAGAGCATTTACATAATCTTTAAAGACCTCCTGTGTGTGTCATAGCCAGACTTGAACTGAAGGATGTGTTCCAGCGGTGCTCTCTCCTAAATCAGCATCTCTGTGTTGGGGAGGTGATGGATTATTCAGTAAGAAATATCCTAGATGCTGTGGAAGAAAAAAATCAAGTCCAATAAAGCTGGGGAAATTGCTGTATGCATCTGGTTATGCAGCAAGGTAGTTGGAGAATGATAAATCTTCAATTTAATATCACATGGGAGTTTATAGATTAATTCAGATGTATCATACCTCAGCTTTAATAACTCTGGGAATGCTGCATAGTAATGAGAAGCACTGGACAAGGATAGCAGGAGAGAATAGCACTGTAGGCATAGTTAAGGGTCTGGAGGTTGCTCACTACGTAATTCAAAATGTTCAGGGTTTATTTGGTCACTTCCCTTGAATTAGCTTTGATTTCTGGACACTGATATTAATGTCCAGTCAGAACTTCCCCTGACACAGCTTCATTCCATTTTCTCATGTCTTAAATATTTATGGATATATATATTTTGCCAAAACACTTGTAGGATGCTTCACTTTCCATCTAAGAAAATTAAAGCTTGGATCCCTCTGCTGCTCAGAACATCTGGCTGAGGAAGAACTCCCTATGCACAGTGGTGCAATTCCCTGATACAAATGGAAGTTCATGTTTGTTCAGTGTCTGCCAAAGCTCATTCAATTGGGAGGTAAATCCCTCCACATTGACACTGGAGTCAGTGTCTCCTCAACAGATCACACTTGCTCTTTCCTGCTTGAGTGTTGCCAGCAGAAATCTTGCTCCTAGATTTTAAAGTTGCTGATGTTTGGCAGCATCCTGCTTGGTCACTGAGATATTTGTATTTAATAGTAATAACTTTTCTGTTCTCTTTGCAGGAGATCCAGTCTGGTCATAACAACAAAGCTGTACTGGGGTGGAAAGTAAGTCCCTCAGTCACTAGTACTGGTGTTTGCTGCTACACCCCCAAAACCAGGTGGAGGTTAACAGCAAGTGGGAGGATGGTTTGTTGTTATTATTGTCCTCATTTGGCCAAGCATTTTAAGGAGTCAGAGCTTGCTGGAGGTGGCTGAGGTGCTGTGCTAGGGGTGCTCCTCCTCGAGCATCCCTGTGGCTCTGGGAGATGTGGGCATAGGGTGATGGACATGGACCTGTTGGAGCAAATCCAGAGAAGGTCACAAAGATGCTCTGTGGGCTGGAGTACCTCTGCTCTGGAGCCAGGCTGGGAGAGCTGTGGGTGTTCAGTCTGGAGAAGAGAAGGCTCCAGGGAGACCTTAAAAACTCTTCCAGTGCCTAATGGGGCTTCAAGAGAACTGCAGGGAGACTTGGGACAAGGGCCTGGCTTTAAGCTGAAGGGGATGGCAAGGTTAAACCAGATATTAGGGAGAAATTCTTCCCTGTGAGGGTGCTGAGGCACTGGCACAGGTTGCCCAGAGCAGCTGTGGCTGCTCCACCCCTGGAAGTGTTCCAGGCCAGGATGGATGGGGCTTGGAGCAACCTGGGCTAGTGGAAGGTGTCCCTGCCCAGGGCAAGGGGTGGACTTTTAAGGTTCTTCCAATGCAAACCAGTCTGGGATTCTGTGATTTTGGGGCTGTTTAAATCAGATCAGAAATTAGTGCTCCCCAGCTCTTGATCCCTCAGGTCTCTAACAGCTGCTCCTGTTTTTCCCTTGCAGAGCCGAAACAGAGAGAGGGCTTTCCAGGAAACATATCATTGAAGGTATGTGTGGCTCAGGGCAGGTGTCTGGCTATGTCCAGATGTCCCTGGCTTGGCCTTGGTGGGACACAGCCAGCCAGAGCCCAGGGCAGTGGCTCCCACATGAGCCAGATCTGTTTGATCCCAGTGCTCCCTGTGCTAGTCCCACACGAGACAATTCCCAAACTCAGCTCTGAAGCGCTCAAAATGCACCAAAGGATTATTTTGGCTCTTCTCAAAAAGTATAAGCAAATGAATTGGACTGGAAAAGCTCCTTTGCCACCCCTCCATGCCTCAGTGACCTTTGGGGTTTGCTGTAGGAAGTTGCTCTGTGGCAGACGTGGCCGCAGGCACCTGGATCTCCTGCAGAGCTGGCAGGGATGAGGATGAGGATGTGGGCATGATGTCAGACTGCAGAAATAGCCTCTGGAGGGGTGCCAGGCCCTGGCTGGCAGTGCTGAGGTTTGCTCTCAGTGAGGTTTCTGCTCAGGTGCGCAGTTTGGTTGTACATCCCTCACCTGGCTCCTTGCATTCAGTGCCGCATCCCACTGAGCGATGCCGTGTGCTGCCTTACTCATCCAGAGGGATTTATTCATCCAAGTTTCTGCTCCTCATCTATT